ATTATCATCCTACACTGTGACTTTGTAATATTATCATCCTACACTGTAACTTGTAGTAATATCATCCTACACTGTAACTTGTGGTAATATTATCATCCTACACTGTAACTTGTGGTAATATTATCATCCTATACTCGTAGTAATATTATCATCCTACACTGTGACTTGTGGTAATATTATCATCCTACACTGTGACTTGTGTTAAATTATCATCCCTACACTGTGACTTGTGGTAAATAGTATCATCCTACATGACTTGGTAATATTATCATCCTACACTGTAACTTATGGTATATCATCCTACACTGTAACTTGTTAATATTATCATCCTACACTGTAACTTGTGGTAATATTATCATCCTACACTTGCTGTGGTAATATTATCATCCCTGCACTGTAGCAGTGGTAATATTATCATCCTACACTGTAACTTGTGGTAATATTATCATCCCACACTGTGACTTGTAGTAATATTATCATCTACACCAAACTTGTGGTAATATTATCATCTACACTGTGACTTGTGGTATCAATATCATCCTACACTGTAACTTGGTAATATTATCATCCCTACACTGTAACCTTGGTAATATTATCATCCTACACTGTAACATTGGTAATATTATCATCCTACACTGTAACTTTAGTAATATTATCATCCTACTGTGACTTGTGGTAATATTATCATCCTACACTGTGACTTGTAGTAATATTATCATCCTCACTGTGACTTGTGGTAATATTATCATCTACATAACTTGTAGTAATATCATCCTCACTGTGACTGGTAATATTATCATCCTACACTGTGCTTGTGGTAATATTATCATCCTACACTACTTGTGTATATTATCACCCTCACTGTAACTTGTGGTAATATTATCATCCTACTGTGACTTGTGGTATATTATCATCCTACACTGACTTGTGGTAATATTATCATCCTCACTACTTGTGGTAATTTATCATCCTACTGTGACGTGTTATCCCTCACTGTAACTTGTGGTAATATTATCATCCTACACTGTCACTTGTGGTAATATATCATCCTACACTGTAACTTGGTAATATTATCATCCTACACTGTAACTTGTAGTAATTATCATCCTACACTGTGACTTGTAATATTATCATCCTACTGTAACTTGGTAATATTATCATCCTACACTGGTGATCTGATTATAGCCTTTAACTTGTGACGTAATATTATCATCCTACACTGTGACTTGTGTATTCATCCTCACTGTGACGTAATATTATCATCCCACACTGTGACTTGTAATATTATCATCCCACACTGTAACTTGTGGTAATATTATCATCCACACTGTGACGTGTATATTATCATCCTACACTGTGACTTGGTAATATTATCATCCTACCTCATGACTTGTGTAATATTATCATCCTACACTGTGACTTGTGGTAATTATCATCCTACATGTGACTTGTGGTAATATTATCATCCTACACTGTGACTTGGTAATATATCATCCTACCTGTGACTTGTAATATTATCATCCTACACTGTGATTGTGGTAATTTATCATCCACATGGCTGTGGTAATATCATCCCACACTGTGACTTGTGGTAATATTATCATCCCACATATGACTTGTGGTAATATTATCATCCTACACTATGACGTGGTAATATTATCATCCTACACTGTGACTTGTAGTAATATTATCATCCTACACTGTGACTGTGGTAATATTATCATCCTACACTGTGACTTGTGGTAATATTATCATCCTACACTGTGACTTGGTAATATTATCATCCTACACTGTGACTTGTGGTAATATTATCATCCTACACTTTGACTTGTGGTAATATTATCATCCTACACTGTGACTTGTGGTAATATTATCATCTACATATGACTTGTGGTAATATTATCATCTACTTGACTTGTGTATTGTGGTAATATTATCATCCTACATCTTGTGGTAATATTTCATCCTCACTTGACAGGTAATTATCATCCTACACTGTGACTTGTGTAATTATCATCCTACACTGTAACTTGTGGTAATATTATCATCCTACACTGTGACTTGTAATATTATCATCCTACACTGTAACTTGTAGTATTATCATCCTACACTGTAACTTGTGGTAATATTATCATCCTACACTGTGACTTTGGTAATATTATCATCCTAAACCTGTGTAATATTATCATCCTACACTGTGACTTTGGTATATTATCATCCACACTGTGACTTGTGGAATTATCATCCACACTGTGCTTGTGTTATCTCTACATACTGGTATATTATCATCCTACACTGTGACTTCTGTGTTATCATCTACACTGTGTGGTATATTATCATCCTACACTTCTAATACACTTATGGTAATATTATCATCCTACACTGTAACTTGTGGTAATATTATCATCCACTGTGACTTGTGGTAATATTATCATCTCACAACTTGTGTAATATTATCTCTACACTGTGACTTGTGGTATATCATCCATACTTGTAATATTATCATCCACCTTAACTTTGGTAATATTATCATCCTACACTGTAACTTGGTAATATTATCATCCTACACTGTAACTTTGTAATATTATCATCCTACACTGTGACTTGTGTAATATTATCATCCTACACTGTGACTTGTGGTAATATTATCATCCTACATATCTTACTTCCATCCTTTATTTAATGTTCATTTTGGTCTCTCTCTCTCTCTCTCTCTCTCTCTCTCTCTCTCTCTCTGACTCATTCACCAATCACCGTCCTCTACGTTTAGTCCCGATGACGTCACAATTTACAGTAACGGTGTAACACGTACAGTATGTGTGTGTGTGTGTGTGTGTGTGTGTGTGTGTGTGTGTGTGTGTGTGTGTGTGTTAAGGGATGGGTTGCCACATGTCTCAGTTCAACTTAACACCTTAATGTGTCCTATAGCATATCTGTGTTACCTCTGTGTTACCTCTGTGTTACCTCTGTGTCGTCTCCGTGTTACCTCTGTGTTACCTCTGTGTTACCTCTGTGTTACCTCTGTGTCGTCTCTGTGTTACCTCTGTGTCGTCTCTGTGTTACCTCTGTGTTACCTCTGTGTTACCTCTGTGTTACCTCTGTATTTACCTCCTATGGCTTCTGGACAAATATATTCTGAGGTTCAGTTAACTTCCATACAGCGGGAAGATTGTTATAGAAAATGGTGAATGGTTGTTGTTTTAGTCTGGAGTCTTGTTGTAAGTCTCTCACCTCTCTCCCCTCCCCTCTCTCCCTCCCCCTCACCCCTCCCTCTCTCTCTCCCCCACCTCACCTCCCTCCCTCTCACACACCTCACCTCTCCCCTCACACACCTCTCCCCTCCCTCCCCTCACACACCTCTCCCTCCCTCCCTCCCCTCCCACACCTCTCCCCTCCCTCCCTCCCTCCCCACCTCTCCCCTCCCTCCCTCTCTCAGACACCTCACCTCCCTCCCTCCTCCACCACACCCCTCACCCCTCCCTCCCTCCCTCTCTCCCCACCCCTCCCCTCCCCACCTCCCCTCCCCTCCCTCCCTACCTCCCCACCTCACCCCTCCCTCCCACCCCCCCCCTCCCTCCTCCTCCCTCACCCCTCCCTCCCCTTCCCCACACCCTCCCCCTCCCTCCCTCCCCTCCCCCCTCTCCCCCTCCCTCCCTCTCTCCCCCCCTCACCCCTCCCTCCCCACCCCCCCCACACCTCACCCCTCCCCTCCCTACCTCCCCCACCCCCTCACCCCTCCCTCCCCCCACACCCCTCCCCTCCCTCCTCCCCTCACCCCTCCCCTCCCTCCCACACACCTCACCCCTCCCTCCCTCCCCACCTCACCCCTCCCTCCCCACCTCCCCTCACCCCTCCCTCCCCACCCCTCCCTCCTCCCTCCCTTACTCCCCTCCCTCTCCCTCCCCTACCCCCTCATCTCTCCCCTCCCTCCCCTCCCTCCCCTCCCTCCCCTCCCCCCTCCCCTCCCTCCCCTCCCCCCTCCCCTCCCTCCCCTCCCCCCCCACCTCCCCCCCCTCCCTCCTCACCTCTCCCTCCCTCACACACCTCACCTCTCCCCTCCCTCGCCACACCTTCACCTCTCCCTCCCTCACACACCTCATCTCTCTCTCCCTCACACCTCTCATCTCTCTCCCTCCCTCCCTCCCCTCATATACCTCACCTCCCTCCCTCACACACCTCATCTCCCTCACCCCTCCCTCCCTCCCTCACACAATCTCCCTCCCTCATATACCTCACCTCTCCTCCCTACACACCTCATCTCTCCCTCCCTCCCTCACCCCTCCTCCCTCACACACCCTCCCTCCCTTTATACTCCTCACCCCTCCTCCCTCACACCTCATCTCCTCCTCCCTCCCTCCCTCCCCACCCTCCCCTGTTTCAGCCATTTTCTGCTCTTTTCCACCTTCTTTACTTCTGCCGTGTGTGTGTTGACGGGGCTTGGTACACTATAGAGAGTACTCATGTTAATACTCTCTCCTGTGTCAGCCGTGCTGGTCATAACCCCAATAGGGAGGTTTAACTGTCGCTTACCTGTAAAACGTCCGCCCTCACCAACTCGCGCCCTCATCAACTCGCGCCCTCATCAACTCGCGCCCTCACCAACTCGCGCCCTCATCAACTCGCGCCCTCATCAACTCGCGCCCACATCAATCGCCATTTTGTTTCATCAGCCAGCGGGAGGGGTGGGGGAGGGGGTGAGCGGAAGGTTACTCGTAAAGCGACAGTGAGCTTATCTTTCTCTCTCACACACCTAGTACAGCTGTTCCACCACACGGCTGTGATCATATCCCCTCCTCTCTCTCTCTCTCTCTCTCTCTCTCTCTCTCTCTCTCTCTCTCTCTCTCTCTCTCTCTCTCTCTGTTAGTAGTTGAGATAGTATATTGATAAGAGGCAACAGGTGTGTGGGACGGGGATGGGAGGGGGCGGAGCAAGTGTAAGTGAGGGGGGAGGCAGATGTGGGAGGGGACAGCGGCCCAGGACAGGTGAGAGAGAGGGGTGGCCAGTCTGGGGGTTATAACCTGAGGCACCGGTACACTGAGGACAGTGCTCACCCAGCCACCCATTGTGTCACCCAGCATATCCTCCTCCACGCCATTGTTGACACGTCACAGCATCAGGTAAGTACAGGTGAGTGTGGACCTGTTCCCCGCCACCATCACTCCCTCCTGTCTCTCTAATCACAGTTTAAGTTACTCGCCATCTTATCACAGCTTCCTAACCAGAGAGTCACTGTTAAAATGTCTCCTCTATTGGCTCACCATCTCTACAGAATCCCCCCTCCCCCTTTCATTCTTCGTCCCAATAGACGTTCATTTTATATCAGTAATCCCCAAACATTTGACGTCACCAGGCCGCCATTGTTGCTGTTGACACGTCATTTCCGATGAAACCTTTGACGTCATAATTATTCCCATTCATATAGTTGGTGTACACGGCCCCCTGTGATGGTGTACACGCCCCCCCTGAGATGGTGTACACGGCCCCCTGTGATGGTGTGTACACGGCCCCCTGTGATGGTGTACACGCCCCCCATGATGGTGTACACGCCCCCCTGTGATAGTGTACACGGCCCCCCTGTGATAGTGTACACGGCCCCCTGTGATGGTGCACACGGCCCCCTGTGATGGTGCACACGTCCCCCTGTGATGGTGTACACAGTTTCCTGTGATGGTGCACACACGGCCCCTGTGATGGTGTACACGGCCCCCTGTGATGGTGTACACGGCCCCTGTGTGATGGTGTACACGCCCCCCTGTGATGGTGTACACGGCCCCTGTGATGGTACACACAGCCCCTGTGATGAGTGTACACGCCCCCCTGTGATGGTGTACGGCTCCTGTGATGGTGCAGACCCCTGTGATGGTGTACAGCCCCTGTGATGGTGTACAGCCCCTGTGATGGTGTACACGCCCCCTGATGGTGCCTGGCCCCTGTGATGGTGCACACGGCCCCCTGTGATGGTGGTGTACGGCCCCTGTGATGATGGTGTACGACCCTGTGATAGTGGTGCGGCCCCTGTGATGGTGGTGTACGGCCCCCGTGATGGTGGTGTGCGGCCCCCTGGTGGTGGTGTACGACCCCCTGTGATGGTGGTGTACGACCCCTGTGATGGTGGTGTACACGGCCCCTGTGATGGTGGTGTACACGGCCCCCTGTGATGGTGGTGTACACGACCCCTGTGATAGTGGTGTACACGGCCCCTGTGATGGTGTGTGCGACCCCCTGTGATGGTGGTGTACACAGCCCCTGTGATGGTGCACGGCCCCTGTGATGGTGGTGTACAGCCCCTGTGATGATGGTGTACGACCCCTGTGATGAGTGGTGTACACGGCCCCCTGTGATGGTGGTGTACGGCCCCTGTGATGGTGGTGTACGGCCCCTGTGATGGTGGTGTGCACGACCCCCTGTGATGGTGGTGTACACGACCCTGTGATGGTGGTGTACACGGCCCCCGATGGTGGTGTACATTGCCCCTCAGATGATGGTGCACACGACCCTGTGATAGTGTGGTGTACACGGCCCTCAGATGGTGGTGTACACGACCCCCTGTGATGGTGGTGTACACGGCCCCCTGTGATGGTGGTGTACACGACCCAGTGATGATAGATGTACACTCTCATGATAGATATAGTAGTAGTAGTAGTAGTAGTAGTAGTAGTAGCAGTAGTGATGGGAAGGCAACGAAGTACTTTACTAAGTATTGTACTTAAGTAGTATTTTTTTATCCACTTTTTACGTTTACTTTAGTAGAATTTAGGAGAGTTACTCGTATTTTTTGCTTCACTAATTTGTCATTTAATATATTGCATTTCGTTACAATTTTATAATTCGAAGTTGTGTGGTGGCAGCTGGTCAGTCGTAACTCAGTGATGTGACGGCGTACCACGCAGTGAGCAGCCAGTCACAACGAGACAACCTTCTCCCTGCACGATGTTCAAGATAACACAGTACTAACGTGCAGTTTTGCCGATTCAACATTTTTTTCACCAAATTTTGTGAAAAAGTTCATTCCGCTACAGTTTTTTGGTGCTCAGCGGCTTGTGGATAATGTTTTTGTTTTTATAATCCTCAATCTAAATTGCTTTAGACAAAATATGTTCTAGAAGGGCAGTAAGATTTAAATTTTCATTACTGTAATCGTGCTAAATTACTTGCCGAGTTTAAATCCTCAATATATATGTGAACACCAGACTGTACACAGCCATCAATTTTTGCTAGACATGTGTTTCAGATTACTAAGACAAATCTTCCTTAACGGCTGTTCACTGATAATTTTTATAGCTGATAAATCTTCATGGACGAGAGCTTGAGAGAACTTTACCTTAGTGAATATTTTTCTTTTTTACTTGAGTACTTAATTTCATATATACTTTACTACTTTTATGTAAGTACAATTTGGGGTAAGTACTTTCACATATACTTGAGTAAGTTTTTGGAAAAGTACTTTTACTTTAACTTGAGTAATATATACTGTATTTATTTGCTTTACGATTTACACACTTGAATATTAGTATTAGTAGTAAAAGTAGTAGAAGTAGTAATTTTAGTAATAGTAGTAGCTGTAGTAGAAAGTAGTGGTGGTAGTAGTAGTAGTAATAGTGGTAGCGGTAGTAGGTGTAGCAATAATAGTGATAGCAGTAGCAGTAGTAATTGTATTATTATTATTATTATTATTATTATTATCATCATTATTATTATTATCATTGATGTTGTTGCAATATAACTTTTGAGTGGTCGTCGTCACCTGGTAATTACATCATTATATCATTATATCATCATTAACATAGTACTCTCAGATGTTAATGATGGAGATGGTGGTGATTATGATGGTGAAGTAACCTCCCTCCCCCATCACCCTCCTCCTCCATCACCCTCCTCCTCCATCACCCACCTCCTCCATCACCCACCTCCTCCATCACCCACCTCCTCCATCACCCACCTCCTCCATCACCCACCTCCTCCAGCACCCACCTCCTCCATCACCCACCTCCTCCATCACCCACCTCCTCCATCACCCACCTCCACACTGCACACTTGTTACCCCCTTCCTCCCCTCCACGATACTACCTCCATCACGTGAGGTTCTCCGCCCTCCCTCCCCTTACACCTGCCTAATGCCACACCTGTGTATTAGATCGATACCAACACCTGCTGGTCTCGTCTCCCTTTCCTTCTACTCTTCCTCCCTTTTTCACACACACACACACACTCTCTCTCTCTCTCTCTCTCATTCCTTCATTCTACCCTATACCCATACTTACACCCACACACCCCATAACCTAACCCACCCACACCCATAACCTCACCCCACCCATTTTCAGCCCACGAAGTTTACCACGATGAGCCGCCCATTTCTGTTCTGTCGTTATGAGTTGTGACCGTTATAATGGGCAGGGTAATTGACTGTGCTCGTTGTACCGGTTCACAATTCTTAACCATGGATAAACGTCCACTAGAACCATGGATACTTGACTACTAGAACCATGGATACTTGACTACTAGAACCATGGATACTTGACTACTAGAACCATGGATACTTGACCACTAGAACCATGGATTCTTGACTACTAGAACCAAGGATACTTGACCACTAAAACCATGGATACTTGACCACTAGAACCATGGATACTTGACTACTAGAACCATGGATACTTGACCACTAGAACCATGGATACCTGACTACTAGAACCATGGTTACTTGACTACTAGAACCATGGATACTTGACTACTAGAACCATGGATACTTGACTACTAGAACCATGGATACTTGACTACTAGAACCATGGATACTTGACTACTAGAACCATGGATACTTGACTACTAGAACCATGGATACTTGACTACTAGAACCATGGATACTTGACCACTAGAACCATGGATACTTGACCACTAGAACCATGGATACTTGACCACTAGAACCATGGATACTTGACCACTAGAACCATGGATACTTGACTACTAGAACCATGGATACTTGACCACTAGAACCTAATTGATACAAATATGATATATAATAACTAAGTGGGGAGAAGGTTGTACTACAGGGCATTTCAACATAGTGACAGTGTAAAAAGGTAAGATTGGCTGGGAGTGAATACACTGGTTGATTATGAGTTGTTGATAATTTTTATAATGGTTGGGACTGGGCTGTTCTTATAGCGATCAGTACGTGCTCGTAAGGGCTGTATAATAGCCGGTTAACTGTTTATTCTGTCTAAGTTAATTAGGCTTGTAAATCTATATTATATTGGGTTTTGCTGTGGTGTCGAACAGCAATTTGCGGACGAGGGATCTCGGGTGGAAGCAGGAGCTGGTGCCGTTGATGGTGCAGAAGCTTTTCACCAAATTTGTAGAGGAGGTCGTGGTGATGATCAGAAAGAGACGAGAGGGTCAGTGAGTTGAGCACTTCTTGATATGTGGAGTAGGAGGAGGAGAAATATAATCTTGCACATCATCTTCTGCGCATTTTCTGGGTGTTTTCGTTATTTGACATTTAGGGAGGAAGACTAGGTAGGGGAAGCATAGGTGAGCTTGGGAAGTATGAATATTGAACAAGCACTGAGGAACTCGGGCTCGGGAACTCCGAGGGACTTGAGGCGGCAGAGGAGGAGGTGGAGACGAAAACTGGAGGATTTGACAATTGTACTGACGTGTTTTACAATTTAGTTTCTTATCAATAGAGACGCCGAGGTACATGGTGGAGTCCACAACCTGGAGGGTGTTGGGGGACAAGGTCAGAGGAGAGGTTGATGTGCATAGCCATGGTCGTGGTATGGTTGACGGTGATGTGATATTTGGTGGCACATTTCTGGAGACTGTTCAATATATTCTGGAGGGCGGTGTAGTCGGGAGCCGAGTTGTTCACACTCATCCCAATGGAGGAGGAGTCGACATATTTCCAGAGAGCAGAGGTGTCTTTTAGGGCGTCTTAGATAAACATGAGGAAGCAGAGCGGTCCTATTTTGGTGCCTTGGGGGACGCCACAGGTGAGTGACTGTAAAGTAGAGACAGTCCCTCGGAAGCGTAAGGCTTGGCGTCAGTCACTAAGGAAGTCTGTAAGCCATGGTTTAATACTTCTCCGAAACTCGATGTCGATAGCTTTGTTGGTGGTTAAATT